AACCAAATTTGTTGCAATAAAAACAGGCAGGTGATAAATTATACGACAGTCGGTACAAGCGCAGGCATTTTACGTGGGAGTGTTACACTTCGATCAGTCAGGAACTTGAGTTTAATGTAAAAAGCAGGAAAGTTGGGCGGTTTCAGTTAAGGGGGTTTAATAGGGGGACAGAATTATTTTTAGACCGGACATGTGATTTGTAAACAGCATGACCCTTTAACAGCTTACAAATTGTACATGTAAGCGATGTAAATGCTGAGAACCGTCTTTATTTAGCAAAATCAGGGAAATAAAATACCTCCAGTGCCGTTCTGCCTAAGAGGTACTCACTGGAAACTGCCGACTCTTAATGAAATCGGATAGACAGTTACAGAATATTTGCTTCACGGAACACTCGGGTACCAAATAATTTCAAACAGAGGCAATAAAGAGCTTTCACTTACTTTTGCCGCTCTGCTTTATAGTTCTTTGTAAGTTCATCAAAGAGCACTGGATTCATCTCCATGAAAGTCTTTAAAACGTTGTAAACGAGGGCGACAATAGTTTGATTCCAATGTTCACGAGAAATTCGGTAGAAGGAAGGGAAGAGGATGGGTAGCAGGACTTCGTTGTTCTCTTCAATCAGGGAGACGAGGTACTCATTATTCCAGTAGTATAAGGCACGCTCGGCAACCTAGAGAGAGAGGATAAAAAACACGTTCGGTAATGCTGAAATCATACTTCTCTTGCAGGCGAGGCTTCGGTTGGAAAAAAAACACCAACTTCAGAAAAAGATGTGTGCTGCAACCACCCACAGAAGGGTTTAATTCACAGGACAAAACACAATTCCCCCTTTACCACATTTTCTAGGATGAAAACGTTTCTGCTTCCGAAATGCCAGATCATTAAATTTGACCAACCGGAGTAACATCGCGGCATCACTTAGTTATGTATACGTCATTAACTCATTATAAATTTGATGGAAAAAACACTCCTTGGTGGTCTAATTAAAAGTAACCCGACATACCTACGGGTAACGAACGGCTAACATTTCCTTGGCAATTGTCGACGATAAGTCTGACCAACGTCTATAAAATTGTCACTAGTTCATGTCACGATAACAATCGATTTGTTTTATTGAAAAAGCCTGACAATCTGCAGTTCACCGTTGATTAATGAAAAACTACTTTAGAAATCCTTCAATGGCTCCTTTGCGTACGCGCACGTTACAAAATGGACAGAGGACCAGGGATTTGACATCAGTCATTGTGCGAATAACACAGACTCAGTGGACGTCGCCCATGCACGCCGCTATAATCGACAGCACAATGGCCCCGAAAAAAAGTCAATTCGTTTAACACGACAACACTGGAAGGAATGTGGATTTAAAGTCATTAACGCAGCATTAACAGATAAGCCCATTAATGCGGCTAACGCATTTATGCGAGGGAACAGTCTGTAGGCCGTCGTGGGCAGATGCATCGCGCCCGTACAATCGAGACTGGGAAGTGGGGGTATTCAGACATCAGTTCGACGCCGGCACGGAGGCAAAGACTGAAGATTCCGTCAAAAGTGCACTTACACATTAAAAAAATGG